GATTGTTCAACTCTATAACTGCAACCCATAGAATTAAAACAAAACTATAAATGCCCAGAGATAGTACTTCCACTCTAACAGATATCACCAACAGGACTGGATAAGGAACGTCTGGGTCCACACTCTTGGCCAACTGTACTACTGACTTCTGTAAAAGAGCATTCCGTCATCAGAACATCACTACTTATAGTACCAACGTGTTGTTTTAATGTCAATATGGACTAAAATTAAAAGGATTATTTCTTGTATCCTTTATACGACTACTAATATTCAGACAGCTCTCCAGACTAAAGAGGTTTTCAAGAGTAAATAACTGGACATGAGAGATGAAAAAGTCTCTCAATCATTTTTTTTACATCCTGGCAGAAATGTGGCGTGTAGCGGAGGAAACAAATTATAGGGCAGTTAAAAAAGAAACTGAGGAGACCATTCCCACAGTTGTTCATTTAACCAGATATGTCTACACATCCCATCAACAGAATGGTTGCAATTCCAGCATGGACAACAAGCGCTGAGGTTTTTCTGCCCAGACTATGTTATAAAAATAGAAATGCAGCAATGTCACAAACCACAGACTGAAAGCCTTCGTTCGATTTGTTGTTATTGTCAGCAGCATCAACTCATCTATCGCATTGGTATGAATCAGAGCAGAAAGTTTAATTTAAAATAAGATTTTTGTTGTTGTTGTTGATATGATGTCTTTTGTCCATATTTGTGGTTTATGGTGTATATCTATCTATCTATCTATCTATATATATATATATATATATATATATATACATATATATACACATTTATATAGTAAGTAAGTATTTGTGGGTTAACTTTAAGTTCACTTTATTACGCTTTTTCTAACTATTATAATAATAAGAAAGTACTTGTTATATTTCAGTGACCCAGTCATAGGATGCTGTGTACCTAAGATAAGATAAGGTAGTTTTCTATAAACTATAACGTTTCTTTTTCTCTCTCTCTCATTTCTTAAACATTTTTGGAGATCGCTTCCACTGCAGCTTGTGAACTATACAAAAAGAATTTGTTGACCTACCGAACACAACTTCAACATAAATGTAACTTAACTATAATAGAGTGTCAGTGGGAATCATTGACCATGGGTTCTTTTTTGTTACAGCTGATGTTGTAATTGAACAATCAGGGCTTAAATCACAGTCATATCATCACTGTTTTCTTCAGTTATTCAGTATACAATATAGAATTATCATGTTCATGTGTACAACATTGAAAGTTGGACTGAAAATGCAATCTAATCAGGTTCAATCAGCTGGTCACAGGGTTTTATGATTGGCTACAACAGGTACATTTACCAAAGGGTATTCTAGACAACCATCAATTCCAACATTTGTTACCACAAGATGGCAAGACATTATGTGCTATCTTGTTCTTCCTGTATTATAGTGAAAGACTATGTCCCCGGGGCCAAGGGTTGAAAGTGATGCAGATTCTGTTAGCCTAATGAAGTGGTTAACCAACTCTTTCTTCAAATGTCCTTTTTGAAGACCAAATGGGTTTAGTGCAGGAGACATTTTTCATTTTGTCTGCATTTGTACAATACCAGTAATTGTTTCCCCTGAAGGCATCATTTCCTGACTTGACTTACAGTACGTTCAACTTGTTTGATGGAGATCAACGAGAATTGTTTGAGAGACAGGAGTTTGATGGAGAAAACTTTGTTTTTGTCTCAAGTGCATTACCAGTCTACCATTTTTTATTAATTAGAAACTAAATGTTCTGTTAATTGGTTTTGAAAATACTTTAAACATGAAACCTTATATTTCTGTGATTTAGAATCTTTGGAGCTGACAGTACAGAAGATAGTTGTCAGACAATGTTTTTCGTGTTGTTCTTCACAGCCTAAGCAGGGAATTGTAATTGCCCCATCACCCATAATGATGTGCGCTCCATGCCCCTGTTTTGTTTTTGTTTTATCTTGTTTTCACTGTGGTGTAATACAATGTGGTCTCTCAGATTTAGAGAGCAGCGAGGACAATGACATATATTCATTAGAGAAGACACCACCTCTCCACCTCTCCACCTCTCCTCTCCTCCTCCTGCTCATTACCCCAGCACAATAGTTCATGAAGCTCCTACATAATGAAAGGACGAGATTTTGTCCTTTTCTGCTAACTGATTGTCCATTACATTTAAACAAAGACAAAGATCCTCAGTGTGACATTGTGCATAAATCCCTGTTACACAAAGTCTTGACTTTTTTACTTGGCAGCTGTAACAGCTCCTGTCCAACAGAAACACTGGACTACCCTCGGCACAAAGGTACTACAACACTCGACCTACAGCGTTTTGCTTATGTCACTGAGAACTCGTTGGAGAGTGGAGTGGAGTCATTTATGTACGGCTTAGTGAAAAAACTTGCTGCATCAGACAATTTTATCAACCAGATCAGCCAATAGAAATTTAGATATTCAACAATAATTTTTTACCAACTAATAATATTGTTTATCCCTATTTGGAATAGCCTTCTGTTGATAAGAGGGAAATAAAACTGGCTGTCTGCCAACATTATCCTGCTGTGTCTGTGCTGTTGTTTACATACACACTGCCTCTCAGAGCTGGGAAAGTTTATAACGTTGTCTTCCAGTCCATTGCATACTTATTGAAATCCATCCTAAAGAAGTATGTTTGATAATAGGTTTCAGGGAGCATAGACAAGAAAATACTCAAATGTATCAGGATAAACCAACTTCTGGTACCTCACCTGGTGCCTCACATGGATTATCTACTCTTTAGCAGCCACCACTGATCCCAGAGGACTTTGTTACATCTGCTACTGACCACTTGTCTGCCGCCCTGTCCTCTTAACACTTGACAGAAGAGCTGCAACGACATTGACTTGTCCCATGCATTATCTCACAACTAGACTGAGGCAGAGTTTAAAATACATTTAATGAGCTGTGAATTTCCTTCTTTTTTTCAAACAGAGAGTGCATGATTGTAACAATGATCTGCACTACTATCAGTGAAAACAAAATAAAACATTTTATAAGTGGGCATTAAAACCTCTGGGGCTTTTTATGGACAACTTAATTGAGACCAGTCCTGTCTGTTAATTGTTGGAGAGATGCCATCAAGGAGGGACAGCAAGCTAAATGGAACAATTAATTAATAACTGCTCGGAAATATCTACCTCTCCATGTAGAGTTGGAGAACGTGAGACAACACATTGAGAACACAATGATGTGTTACGTGAGACAACACATTGAGAACACAATAAATAACTTTTATTATTTGAGTAAAAACAGGGAAATTAAAATAAAAAATTGTAGTTTGGTAGTTTATTAAGAATATATAATATTTTAGTCTCCCGTATATCAAGTAGGCCTAGGAGGATGATCAATAAATCCAGTGATCACACGACAAATAAAAATGAAGTTGATCATTTTGCCGGCCAGATATATTGCCTTGTGCATGTGTGTTTTCCTCGTCTCTGGCCTCCAACCAGGCTGCATGACAAGAGGGTTCAGTCTGTGCATCAGTCTTAGCACCTGGACCTATTTGTTCCATAGTAGAATGAGCAGAATAAACCCTCGAATGCAGAAACACAGACGAGCAAGTGTGCTGAATCTATTCCAAAGTGGTATCAACAAGAAAAGGCGACACAACAAACTTGCATGTCCACACAAAACATAACCTCCCAACTGAGAAAAAAAAAGGTAAGGTAAGGTGTTTGGTCGACAAAGTAAATACAAACGGTGGCCCCTTTAGGGGTCCGCTCAGTGGCGTGTCCATAACAAGGGGCGTTCAGGTACCACAGGAAATGCAAAGGGTACTCAAGTACAATTGGGAAAATTGAAAATCACAAAAAATACAAAAAATAATGACAATGAAATATTGTTTATCACAATATTTTTTGGAAAGATATATTTATTATCACAGACCTGATACCAAGAATGACATATTTGTTATGATGCACACACCTGAATGACATATTTGTTATGATGCACACACACACACACCTGTTGATGGCTGTTACTGACACCACAGCCGTGTGTAAATGCATTCACTGACGGTGTCATATGGAGGAGAAATGATTGCTGTAGGAATCACTCAAATCTAAACCCTGCCATCAAAACTGTTGCTGGTCACCTGAGCTACAGCCCATCAAAACTGTTGCTGGTCACCTGAGTTACAGCAGCACAACCACATGTCACATTTGTGAAGGGATTTCAGAAACAAAAAAAAGCTCCAAGCCCACAGTAATCAAAAAAAAAAAAGCTCCAAGCCCACAGTAACTCTGACGAGACCTCGGTGGAGATGTTCTGAGGCTGTACCGTGGTGTACACACCGCACAGTTCGTGTGTTTCCTGGTTCGGTGCAGAAGCTGCATCTTCAGTTTTACTATAACAGACAGGACTGCAGAGTGGAGAAACACGCTCACACACGAACACTCGCGCGCACTGTCACGCGGGCACTAAAGGCTGCAGCTGTGCTGCCACAGGGACACTGCATGTGAGACTGCAATGCGTTGTTTCCCCCTCACACGCTCTCTCCTCTCCACACACACACCTCCAGCATCACATCCTGGGATTTCTTTCACCATACAGTACAAGTGTTTGGTCGCAGATACAGGACGTGTCATATAATGACACAAACTTAACGGAGTCACGTGACACCCAGTATAAAGTGCGCTCAACTACCTGGACCACAAATCCGAGTTAGGCACCCCTCAACGGTTACTTTTTCAATGTACAACAGCTGCTACTTAGTAGAGTTTGCGCCACAATTCTGAAGTAAAATATTAACAAACATGGTTCAAGGTTCTCAAGAATGACAGAGAGATAAAGACAGAGAGAAAAGAAGAATCCAGAAGGTGAGAGTGAGGATTTCAGCGGGAGAATATTGTATGTAAAACGCGAAGCGCGTGCACGCTTACACACGCACGCACCCGGCTAAGCACACACAGAAGCAAAAACACGATACGAGAGTGGGAGAGAGGAGGGTTGACTATATCTCAGTCAACTTACCTTCAAGAAGAAGCTCAGCTGTGAAGACGCAAACTGAGAGGAAAAAAGCTGCGAGAGATCCGCTCCCCGTGATCGCCATGTTGGACACCTGCAAGGGACTGACGGCGCTATATCACCTACAGAGAGGGAGAGAGAGAGAGGGAGGAAGAGCGACAGAACGGGAGAGCTTGCCATGGGATGGAAGCGAGGAGACATGGGAGGAGATGTGAGGGGGACGTCACCTTTGTCCGCTTCATGCTGGTCTTTTGTTGCTCCCCTAGAACATTTGAAACAATGGACGGAACATGGAAACATGTTGTTGTTTTTTTGTTTGTTTGTTTTATGGGTTATGGTTCAACGAGGACGTAAATGGATTAGCAAAAATCACTGACTAACTTGGGGACAGATAAAAACAGGAATTAGATTATTCTTACTGGCCCTTATTATTATTCAAATTGTTGAGTTGAGTTGAATTTTGTCTTATGGATTTTATAAATAAAACATTTATAAAGACATCAAGTTTCTTTTTTGCAGCATCTGAAAATAACATATCTTATAATAAATCCTAACATCCCCCAGGTTCACACTTGTGGTGGGCAACAAGGTTGTGTGTTCAGTCTTTGTTATGCATTTTAAGAAGAAGCCAGAAAATACATCAATGGAGTTCCACACAGCAGTGCGTTGTAGCCAACACTGAACCTCTTCTCTTCTAAACCCTGGTTTTCAATATGCCAAAATGATACAAAGGCTGTTAATTGCACAATCCCTCCTGTCAGACAGTTGTGTCAGTCCTCATTCCATGGCTGAGTAGGTGGTATTTAGAGCTTCATTTTGATTTTACACTCATGCCCCACTGCTGCAAAATGAATTCCACACATCACATTTTTCAGATGTTATTATCTGTGGCACCTCACCAGTTCTGCCTGTCACTCACACAAGATCTCCACAAGGTGTTTGGTGCTAACAGTACTTGGTACTGTGCCTGTCACTCACACAAGATCTCCACAACAGTACTTGGTACTGCGCACGGTTTGCCAGATTGAACTTTTTTTTTGTCGTATGTATCCCTCCAGTGTGAGCAGTTATAATGGGACAACATTATAATTGAATCCATCCATTCATTCATTAAACCCACCACTCTAAAGATAAGTAAACCATTCATGCTCGCATTCACACCTTCAGTTAGATTTTCATAACATATTAGTCATAAGAAGTTACTTTTTTTTTACACAGTGTAACCTAAATAGTTGAATTTCTACCACGTGACATGAACGGATCAGTATAATTTCATGTTGGGGGTGGGAGGGTTGCAGGAGAGGAGCATTTATGTAGCAAGTTACCCTGAAAGAAGTGGAAGTGACACATGCACTTTTTCATTTATTAGTTAGTTTTGAGCAATCACCAGCAGTCACCAGTTGTGATCAAACCTTTGACCTTTTTGCTGTAAGGCAGGCACACCAAACATCCTCCACCTTGAATAAAAAACTTGTGTTTCAGGGAAAACATGATTGATTTAATCTAGAATTTTCTTCCTATATTCCAGTTTACTTGCTTACTGCAACTAGCATTGGCAGTGTAAGAGACATACTGTAAGTGTAAGTAACTGTGTCTGATTTTAATAACTAAAGCATGTTAAGACCGACTCTCAGGTGTCTCAGTGTTTAATTAGTCTTTTTGACTTCCTCTCATACAATATTCTAATTCAATTAAGTGTTTTTTTTTCTTCTGTGCTCTTCAGACATATGCTGGGAGTTCTGATAGTTGGTTTGAGGATGAAAAGGTTTGTAAATGAAGTAATAAATCTATGGTTATGACAGTGGTAATGTGTCATGCACTGGTCGATAAAAGATGTCCTACCTATCGTATTAAGGCAGATGTCAATATGTGGGCCAAGGGCAGCCATCCAGGATAGCATCGTTACCTTAGCAGATAATCATTGAAACACATGTTAATCACCTGTGCTACAGCACCTGGGGTGGTCAACAACACAGCATTAGCAGGAACCTCTCCACAGTATTGGATAGCTTTTAGCTCATTCTTCTCTGACTGAATGTAGACATCTTACTTTTTTATGTGGTGTTTTCTTGCCCTTAGCTTACGTTGAACTACATCTGAAAGCAAAGTTAGCTTTGGCTAGTGGTTTTATTTTAGGCTAATATTTACCTTCATCCTCTCGGACAAACCCTTTAGCTTATTGGAGTTAGCTTATTATTCTTTTCTTCTTCCTGTTATTGATTTCTTTTTCCATTTAATTTGTATCAATGTTGTATTTCACTGCTACAGGACTGTTCCTTTGCTTGTAATAATAAAGGGAGGTTCCTACGTCTCTCTGGGTAGAGAAGCCCACAATCTCTCCACGCTGGATGAATAATGGATAAGTCTGGGTTTGACGACTGAACTGGTTAATCTGGGATACTGTGTCCTAATGGCCAGCTATAGATTTTGTGTAATTGTGTGTGTCTGTGTGTGTGCGCACTAAGAGGATTCTGTTGAGCAGCTGTGACCTCGCATCTAAGTTTACACACTTGACCAAGGTGGTACATTTAGCAGTTCCTTTTTAATTAGCACCAGGCCATGAAAAATTATTCAATCCAGACCCTTTTTTACAGTTGATGTTTTATTTAGAAATACATTGGTTTTAACGACCTCACTCTGTCATCTGCTCCTGAGCCATTCCCTTTTTAACTTCACTCTTTGTAGTCTATTAAATATCTCAAATAAAAATCGAGAGAATTATCTATTTAGAAGCACTTAGCCATTTATTTTTACCTCTTATTGTAAAAGGATGAATAATTCAGACCCTAAAATGTGAGCGGTTTCAACAGGGGTCACATGCTTGTTTATTTTAATTCATCTGACATTTCTAAAATACACATGTAAATATAATGAGCGTTTGCACCACAGGCGGGAGCATTTGCTGACCATGAGCCATTTGTCGGTCCATTTTTACTTATTTCACTTGAAGAGACCAGCATTGTACACACCCCCACTTCCTCACATCCACAGCAAATTATCACAGGAAATTATATTCCAAATATATCCACAGCTCATCAATTCTTTATGCCTTCCAGCAATGAAACCTGTGCCCTCAATTGGTTTCCTGTCCACTTTCTGTCCCTCTTACTGGAGCAATAGGGTTTTAATATTAAACACGTACTTGTGTTGTTGAACTTCAGTTGGGAACACATAAGGAAAATTGATATATTTTAATCTATGTAGTGACAGCAGAGTACAGTTTCAGATATCTAGTTTCAGATATGCAGTGCATATCCAATATATGCAGTTGTTTTCCCCCGAAACTGCAGTAAACGTCTCAGGAACCCACAGGCGATTCCAGCATATTTGGTGAAACCCAATAACGATTCTTACAGGTATTATATACAGTAATTATGCCAATATGAGATCGATAAAAACAGTCGGACAATATTATTGGACATCCCTAGTTTTTCAATGAAAGCTTGAAGCACCACAACATTAATAAAACAAGAAATAACTTTACTTAGCAGGTGCTGTCAGTTTGATAACACATGGATGATAGCCAATTCACTGGTGTTTCTAATGCACTACTTATGAAACAACCTAGTGTTTTTTATGGTCACTCTGAAGCTAACATACACTGACAGTATCAGTTTCAAAATCTTTCTGCCCCAGTTATTCAGAGTTCAGAGGTCATCTGCATGGACTCCCAGGACTCTCTGCTCTGGAGGCAGGTGTGCTAACTGCTACACTATGGAACCAAGATAGTGTCTGTACAGAGAAGAAAAATCGGCAAGTTAGAAACAATTAAAAGACTCTGAGAAGGATGAATATTTCTAGTCCAAGCTTTTTTTTTTAGTCTTTGTCTTCGTCTCGTCTTTTGTTTGGCCAAAATGTTAGCGCTGTAGCTCCATTAAACAGCTATTAGGAATCAGGAAACACCATTAAAGTCATTCAAATCATCCCTGTGTTTTATTTTTTATCATAAGCTGGAAGAAATTCACACGTTTGATTAACAAATCAAGTTCTAACACATTTTAACCTTTTTCTCCCTTTCTATACAAGGCTACTTATACCAGGCATTATTGTGGAAATGTCTTCTTCTGTGTAAGGACACAGTCCATTGAGCATCAGTCTGAGCATCACAGATTACTTCTCCTCCCCTGTGTTTAAAACTGCTCCCTGATTTAATAAATGGAAAGAGTTTATCGAGAGTGGCTTTATGAAAACGGACGGGATTTTATCAGGTGTGGAGAGAAAACCTGAACTCAATTGGTTTGTTCATTTTTACTTTATATTTTCTCCTTTTCTGCACTGGTGCAAAAAAGACCAATCATTGTGCTGTATGTCTGTCTGAACTGAGTGGAACTATCACCCCATGGGTTTATGGGTATTTTTTACAAGACCATATATTCTAGGTAAGGCAGGGCTTTACTGTACTGGTGCTACAAATACACAAAGTCGTTGTGGTAAACCGTATGGAAGTAAACTACTGTCTGGATATGCAGGTGGCTAAATGATAGGCTAACAAACAGGATAGTAATCTTCTGAGGTTGAAAGTAATTGGTCCTATAAAACCGGTCTTAGTAAAAGCTGTGTGACTGTCATGGATTTGTATATTGCAATTAAATCAGTGGTTCCTAAAGTGTCTGTATGTGTGTTGGCGGGCATGCTAGGGGCATGGAGCCACTGCAGAGGTGATGCAGCAAGGGAAATGAATTTGCCATTTCAATATTCACAGAGGTGAATTTTGAGTGGAGAGATTTCAGTGGTTACACATCCAAAAAGAAAGAAGAGAGAGTGAGAAATAGAAACTGAATATGACTAGTTTTATAAAATGACTTGTATGATGCTTAACACAGCAGAAGCATAACTGCTGCTTCCGCACATCTAAGCACAAAGCTAGTAACAGTGACGGAGCGAGGGTTGGAAAAGCTGCTGCCGCCTACATGTTTAACTGGAGTGCTGACCCTGCACTGATGCTCCACACACCCAGACTGTCACATTCAAGAAAAGAGTCTCTCCACAGAGGGCGAGAGAGAGGGGGGGAGAGAGCAGGCTGGAGTATTGTTAGCTTTATCTGGACCAGAGACAGGGTCAGGACCTGAATTGGCCACTGGAGGTAGTTTTTTTTTTCTCCATCCATGAAAAATGAGTCTCATTTATTAATTTATTTTTATACAAGTTGTAACAGGCTATACTTCCCTGTCTTGCAATTGTGTTTTTATAAAATGTGTATGTGGAAAATATTTTCTATGGATAATAACAACAACAACAAAAACAATAATAATAACAATAATAATAATAACAATAAAAAACACTATGTAATTTGATATCTTCTGCCATGTTGTTTAAGTTGCTGTAACTCCTGAAATAAATGTTGCTGTAAACTTACATTCAGACTAAATTAATTGACCAATTAGCAAATGAAGATTTGCATTTTGATTAATTCTCAGATGTTTAAACCACCCCTCAGACAGCCGTTTGATTTATATACGCCTGTCAACATC